CGCTGCAGTGGCTTTAAGTTGCCCCCACATTGGAGATCAGAGGCGAAATTCTGACGTTGTCAGTTCTAAAAGGAATAAGCTTCAGGCCAGAAACCCATATTCACTTAAATAAAGGCAACAAGGGCATAACTACATCCTGTGATATCTTTAATAACAATTTTTAGAAGTCTCAATCTAGGTAACAGAGTAAGTAAGTCAGTGTAGGTTCTGACTCCTGCCTTTCCAATCACTTAGTACTAACAAGGATAAAGCAAGTACAGGGGAACAGGAGGAATTCTGTCCATTCCCCACGGTCCTCGTTATTTTAAGCCTGGATTCCAAGTGTCTTTGACCCTCAGAGAAATGCATCATCCAAGAGCAGAAGAGAATTTCCACTGTTTTCTCCCATGACCTTCTGGACACTTCCCATTTCATTACACTAAAGGGAGAACTCTACATTCCCATCCCAGTTTCGAGAGCAGCAGCAAAGGACCCACTCAGTACAGGCGAGTCCTTCTTTTTCCTAGAAACAGAACCTTGAGAAAGGTTACCAAGGAGCTGTAACATGCACCTGGGCAGTGTGAAGGGTTTTCCCAAAGTGACTCCTCAAAAAAAGGAAGCTGCTTTATACAAAGGTTCTTATTGCAGCACTTTCTCAAGAAGTGTACTTCCCATTCTTTTGACCAAACACAGGAATTCTCCTCTGAAACGGTCCCTATCACATCTAGTTTCAGATGCTTAGAGATCAAAAATAGGACTGGGTTCCAAAAACAGAAGAAAAAAGTAACCTATTAAATTTAAGAGGTTTTGTTATTGTGGAGATGATTCCAAAGTTCTATGCGTGGTGTCTGTAAAGATAACTTTAAAAAGAAGAAAATCTTGAAAATACATCTAAGCAGTAAGTAGTCAAAAGAGACTGTCCAACTGTATTGCAAATGGCTATTTATGGCTGGAGGTAAAATTCTCTCTATGAAAGAAGAACCAGAAAGATGCCACGTCTCAAACAAACTCAGGCAGATGCAGCCACACTGGGAAGCTATGCTGAAAAATTTGAACGGGGTAATGTCAAAGGCATCAAGAGTTGGAATTCTTTTTCTTATGAAACAAGATGGGTGGGGAACACTTCTAAGTACAGGCTACTCTTGTGTTAATTTTAAAATTGGACACAATTTTAAAGTTTTAAATAATGAAAGCAGACATCTGGTTATTGACAGATGCACATATGCATATCTAAAGTGTACACAGTCAAGGTGACAAATGTTTTAATTTTCTCACAGCAGGGCCAGGCATGGTGGCGCACACCTGTAACCCCAGCACTCGGGAGGCTGAGGCGGGAGGATCGTTGCGAGTTTGAGGCCAGCCTAGGCTACAAAGTAAGCTCAAGGCCAGCCTGAACTGCATAGCGAGACCTTGTCTCAAAAATACCAGAAAAAAAAAATCTTTTCACAGGAAAACAGTGTGGTCTCACAATCTGGCATATAAATTATGTGTCATCCTTTCGGGCTACTCAGCATCCGAAACCCTTTCCTGTGTAAGACGGAATTCTCCTACCTAACTAGGCAGAATCCACCTCCCAAAATTCGGGGCCAATTCATACAAAATGGTTCCTTGAATACCCCCTTTGTTTAGCTCACAGCAGGAGTATCACTTAAGTGCAGGAATCCTACGTGGACAATGTATGTTTCAAATTTACTAATCCAATTAGCACGCTTCTGCTTTCACACAGATAATCTAAGAATAAGAAGTCCCCAGTAATAACGGTGATCAGCTTTCAGGAGCGAACAGTGATTAGCTCAAAACCTAACAAAGCAAGAGGGTAGGAGCAGAAGGTCTTGACATCTCTGGTCTCTGATTTATTGCCCCAAGTGGCTAATTATCACTCCCCCCCCCCCCGCCCCGCCTCCACACCCTTTCAAAAAAGAATGGTTAGGGCTGTTTCACCTACATTTAAGATTCCCTTAGTGTCTTTCCTCAAATACCTTAGGACTTAGACGGAAAGAAGCAAAGGGGGAAAAGAAGCAAGAGAAGGAAGAAGTAAAATCTCGCATCAATTTTAAAGGACATTAACTGAAACATGATAGTAACAATTTTACTCAAATTAGGCTGATGAGTAAAAATATTTTTTAAATTACCCTTAGGAAAAAATATAAAACAAAAGCTATTGATTATACAGCCAGCACAGTGCCACATGCCTGTTGAGCCCAGTACTTGGTACTTGGTACCAAGGTACCTGGGAGGCTGAGGCAGGCGGACTGAAAGTTTCAGCTGAGACTGAGCAATTTAGCAAGACTGTATCTCAAAATTTAAAACATAAATAAAGGGCTGAGACTGAAGCTCAAAGGCCCTGGATTCGATCCCCTGTACTGTTAAAAAAGAACAAAATAAAAAAGTCCCTGCTAATGTCCCCACTGACTGTATTAGAAATGAATTTGCCTAATAAGGATGTACATGTGGGACAAGGACCTCATTTCTATTTTTTTAAGCAAAATAAATACTTGGGCAGAACATTATGAGACGAAACAGCCCCATAGAAATAAGTGAAAAGATAAGGCTGTCAGGAGGCTATAAAAGAATCATGACACAGAAGTCAGAATTGGTTTTTCGGGTTTTTTTTTAGTTTTAAAAAATATTTTCATTTCTTAAGTGGATGGTATTTGTGAACCTTATCCACAAGGCGATAAACGGCTGAACCAGGAAAATAACAGAAGAAGTAATGCTCAGAAACAGCATCTTTGACTAATGGAAAACAGAGTCACTCTCAGCCCTTCTATGATATACAAGCTACTTGAGTGACCAAGAGAAATAAAGGAAAGGGCTGGGGCCGCAGACCTGCTGGTAACTCAGCCTCCGTGAGGCAGCCACCAGCCAAGCATCTGCTCTTGGACTAGTGCCTGGTGTCCACTGCCAGGCGTGGTGCCACACAGCTATAATCCCAGCACTCTGGGAGGCTGATGCAGGACTGTATTAAGTTTGAGCCCAGGCTGGGCAACTTGGCAAGACCCTATCTCAAAATTTTAAAAAATGAAAATAAAAAGGGCCAGGGGTGTAGCTCAGCCCAAGAGCCTGGGTCCCGATCTCCAGCCTTTCTGGGAGCGGGTGAGGGGGAAAGCCTGTGAGAGAGGAGGTGGGCACACAGCGGTGAGGAAGAGCTGCCAGGCAGGGTCAGAACTGACCCCAGCAGGAGTAGCGGAGGAAAGGAAGATGGGCGGTCCATTCCCTGGCTGTGGGCAGAATGTGGGAACCGAGTTCCACACGGGCTGTGAGTGCAACAGCTGGGCCCCAAGGTCAGGAAGTCTTCGTCTCCCCTCCAGAGCTGTCTCTTCACCACCGAAAGCCCCAGAGGGCACTGTTCCCACACAATCCTGGCCACTGTCACTGCTCTGGACACCAACACATCTCCCGGCAACTCAGTGCTGCCATTCACTGACTAAAACACACCGCCAAGGAGAAAACAGCCCGTTATTTTATATACTACTCAGGGGAAGATGCGAATTAAATTTTTTTAGTTTTTGATAATGAATTATCTTTAACTTTATTTTTTTCTATTTTCTACCTTTCTTGAATGAACATGGCTTACTTTTTAAATTTTGAAACACATTTTAGGATAAGGTGATAGAAAGTTATAGTGATAGGTAGTAGTTCTTTTCAACTTAAGTCTTAACAGAACAGCTTAATACTCTTATATTTATTGAGAAAGCTCTTTTCAGGGGCTGGGGATTTAGCTCAGCGGCAAAGCACCTGCCTAGCAAGCGCGAGGTTGTGAGTTCAATTCCCAGTACCGGGTGGTCGGTGAGGCTGGGGGGAGGGGGGGCTCTTTCAGAGTGGTATATTTTAATCAGGTACATACACAAAAAAGGAAATAAACTATACATGATAAGATGTCTCTAAACTTTCTTCAGAGCCTAACTCTCCTGAATGACTTTTCATCTTGGTTCCCAAAATCTGGTTTTCCTCATACATTTTTTTTATTTTCCTCTGCACCATCAGGGATACTGAAGATACTTGACCTCCTTACACCTTCCTGACCTAAGCAGCTACTTTCTCATGACGTCACCTGAGACCTCAAAGGAAGGTTTTCAAACAACCGTTAGGATTCCCATTTCTTCCTTAAGTGGTCTTTAAGTGGTTTGCGGACTGAAATACTGAGGAGCTGCAATTGCCCACACAACTACAAAGAAGAAGTAACAAATTCCCCTCTCTTCACGGCTGCCCCCTCACAGGCAGCAACTGAGACACACACTCACCTCAGGCATGTTCAAGGAGGAGGAGGGGAGGGGCCGGGGGTACAGTGTGTGTTCAGCAAGCATGAGACACTGGGTCCAACCCACACAGCGGAAAAAATGTGGAGGGGAAGGTATGAAGTCTTTATATCATGAAGGAACTAAAGACAAGGGATAAAGTTCTGGGGCGTCCAGGAGACAAGAGAAAGGTTCTACTTCATCTCTGTCTTCAATTTAGTGGCTGATGTAGGAGAAGTCGCTCTACCTGACCCAGCTTCAAATAAAGTGGTTAAAACTAAGCTTCCCAAAACCCCACCTTAGCACTTTAATTCTTTTATGCCTAGTATTCTATTTTTGGAACAGCACATAATAATGGGACATAATTTAAAAATTGCTCTTCGAATTCTTGTTACTTGAATTTCTCTAGGTAGCCTATCAATTTCATGCCAAAATTCAAAAAAATTGCAACCTACAGCATCAGTGTTGAGTATTTCCATGACAAGATCTAGAGAACAATCCTAGGTGCCCCGGTTCGTCCCCAAACATCTGCCTTGTGAAACGGAAGATTCAGCTGAACCCACAGCTGACACTGAATCGCTCCTCTGGATTACACAACAAAAGGAACGGCCGGTCGCATCCTGGCGGCCGGGTGGGGAACGTGTGTGCATGTGCGTTGGGGTGAAAAGGGAAGCAGAGCCAGAGCCAGCTAATTCCTCAGAAGAGGAGAAACAGGCCCCAGGGATACGAAATACAGGAAATGCGAGTTTCAGGGCAGAAGTAGAATCTGGAGGAGAAGGCGGAGAGGCCACAGATGACGGTGAATCACCACCCACAGCCACTGAGTCACGGGCACGGCCTCAGCAGAGAGGGCTCCAGGGAGGGTGTGGGGCTGCTCCCCAAGACAGCCCCCCTCACTTGTGCCGGGCTGTGGATTTGAGCTGGTCTGCACTGTAATCTCTACCGGTATGAGGTAAGAAAAAATTTAATTTGCGAAAGGTACATTCCTGACAAACAGGTTTTACAATGGCGACCATACCTGACTGAATCATAATAGGTTTTTAAGGAGTAAAGACGAATATTTGAAAAAGCAATGTCACCAAAGGGCAAAGGTCAGTTCCAAGGAGGGGGAGGAATCCTCCTAAACCTCGGACAGCTTTTTTCTGCCATCCTGAACATGCCTGCCAACAGAAACCCATATAAAAATGTGTCATTTGATCTACAGAAGAGGTGATTAAAACAATGTGATGAACTGCTTATTATTATAATTATGAAAACTATTGTAAGACTGAACTAAAGGAATAATCTTTAATGGCATACAATGTCTTAGCTGTCTCCAATCCTTTGGAAGGGCCAGGTAAAAATTTAGGCTTTTAAAGATTATTTTAACCTGCTGATTGACAAAAAGTCAGCCAAAAAAAAAAAATTTATATTCACTGTTCAGGTAGATCTAGTTTAAAGGCATGCATTGTCAAAGGAGGTTTCTCTGGCACCCAAGCCAACGGCTCAGCACACCTGAGTCACCTGGAGGGCCTATCAAAGCACAGGCTGAAGGACAGGCCCCGGAGTTTCTGACGCCACAGGTCCGGGCAGGGGCCTGAGAATGAGCATTTCTCGACTGTTTCCAGGAGCTGCTGACAGACCAGGAACATGCTCTGAGAACAACGGCCCTAGGACACACTACAGAAGGACCATCATGCAATTTTCTCCCCGAGGTAAAAAGAGATTTAACTGACTTGAGTATTATAATACTTACGTTACCAAAGTATAAGTGCTAGAATATTGTAGGACATTTCTAAAAGAAAAAACGATAGTTTGCAACAAACGTCAATGTCAAAAACACAAGCGGTTATGGAAGAGATTGGAGGCGATGAAACGACGGAGCAGAGCCGGGGCCTCGCCTACCATCGCAGAGCCCAGCGCGCGGTCGGGACTCACACTTAGTTCCTCCTCTGCGGGACACAAGCCCAAGGCGCACCACCCAGCAGGTGTTCACACACACACACACACACACACACACACACAGGACTCGGAGGTCAAAGGTCTGCCTGGGAAAAGCCATCCTGCCCACATGGGGAAGGGATGCAGCAGGTGGACAGGGCAGCTGCTCGTGTCTGCCTGGTGCCCACCAGCTCCTGCACCCTTGGGATGAGAGGGAGGCACTGCCCAGCACTGTGTCAGGAAACCCTGTGCCAGGGCACCACTGCCAAGCTCTCCTTCCTCTCCCTCCAGACCCTCGGGCTCCCGCACCATTGCTCTGCTTTGCTAGAAGGCTCAGAAACAGAGCCATCACTCGTAGGCTAGCAAGGAAAACAAAATAATCCAATAAAGGGACCCATGTGGAGAAGTAAACACAATACGCAGGGCTTTTTAAGGAACATCAGCCAGAGTACAGTGCTATTTTAAAAGCCCTTTGATTCCTGGACAGCTGCCCACCTCAGAGAAGTACACCACGTCCTGCCCCGCCAGAGAACGTTCCGGAATCCTGGCGCACGAAAGCCCCACACAGCGCTCCCGAGGGGCCACGCACAGGAGCGAGCCCGCAGCGCCCCAGTCCCCGCTGCTCATGTCCACAGCCAAACTACTCGATTCACAGCACGCTAAGTCCTGATAAAGCCAGCGTTGGCTTTGGAAAGGGCCAGGCACATCCAGTCATGGAAACTCGTCTTCTAAGTGTGGAAGGAAGCAGTGGCTTCTCTTCTTAGACTGTAGCTCTCTCCACTTCCTTCTCTGGTAAGTCATGCTCTTGGGTTTGTTTGATGTTTGGTTTTGTACGATGCTAGGGATGGAACCCAGGGCCTCACCCAACTCCAGTAATTCGTTTTCACAGGAACAGTTTGACCTCAGGATGGGGAGGAGAGATACACAAACACAATCTTCCCGGATGTTCAGACTCAACCAGGTTCCCACTCAAGGAGGAACCCATCTTTCCTGACCTAATTCCAGTTCTTCGTTCAGCTCAGCTCATAATTTACCTCTCCCAGGGGCCTTCCGCTAAACTCCCCACTTACGCAGTGACTCCAAGCATACTGAAGGTACAGGCTTTGGGCCATCTCCCCCTAGGGACACCCACCGACCGACTCCAGGGGAAAGGAGCTACGGTTTTTCTTGGCAAGTCCTAAGCACACAGAAGTATCTGTCAAAGTAAATGCACCCTATTTAGTTTATAGATTGGACACATGGACACAGATACAAAGAAGAATTTGTTCCAGTATTTGCGCTTCCAAATAGGTGACGCTGTGTCTTTAAAACCCAAGCCCTATGTAGCACTTATTTAAGATAAGGAAAATCTTTGAAAATAGTTGTCAGGCCCAGTGTGGCGGTGCACACCTGTAAGAATCCCCGCACTCAGAAGGCTGAGGCAGGAAGATCACTGTGAGTTCAAGGCCAGCCTGTACTACATAGTGAAACTCTGTTCCCGCCCCCCCAAAAAAGAAGGGAGTTGCCATTAGTCTTTGCCTTCTAAAACAAATATTTTTCTATTTAAATGTTTATGATTTAATAACTCAGTCTTGACTTATGAATGACGTTGCACCACTACCTACTTTAGGATTTTGAGAAATAAAGCTGATTACTCTTAAAGATGAAGTGAACACTAAAATTGTATTTAAATTCTAGGAATCCTTTTTTGACCTGTTGTTTTTAATACCCTTCTGGTTTGCACTAGTTCTCTTGCAGTTTTCAGAATTAACGCACTGGCACTCATTTCAGCTTCCTCACCACTATGTTCAGGAGCAGGAGCCTCAGGCTACTCGAAGTCCTCCCCTATGCTCCTCCCCCAGACTTCCGGCTCCAAGGCTAAGACTTCCAGCTCTTCCCTGAGAGCTCAGGCTTGACTGCCCCTCCCTATCAGCCACCTTCACAGCTCTGCTACTGCACTTAGACCGCTGTAATGAACTTTCTACCAGCTACTCTCCAGAATAATATTGCAGATGTCTTGAGGTAAGTATTTAGTCTTCTTCAGAAGTTTAAAGCTAGTGTCTAGGAACATGGTTATTTTTATTAAGCATTCAAAAGTACTAAGGAAAACTGGAGGGGTGGTGTGCGCCAGCTGCTGAGAAGGCTGAGGCAGGAGGATCAACTGAGCCCAGGAATTCAAGGCCAGTCTGCACAACATATGGAGTCAAAGATCCGAACACACACCCCCAAAACCCAAGATATTTAAAGAAAAAAAATTAAACAGGGCTTGGTGGTACACACCTGTAATCCCAGCTACTCAGGATGCTGAAGCAGAAGGATTCCAAGTTAAAGAAAGAGCGAGTGAGAGACAGAGAGACAGACAGACAGACAAAGATAGCTCACTGACTACCAAGTTTAGACATAAGTACCCAGGTAATATCAATACGACTTAAATGTCAAGTTTTTCGACTTTTATTACATTCATTATTATGCTTCAGATAAGACGCAGCTTTCTTGAGCAGCATCGTAAAGATTCTTTGCTGGCAAATTAAAAAGTATCAGAAATTCTTATCAAGGAAGAAAAAAGAACCTTCTTAAAGTGACTTCAAAAGTTAGTCATCAAATTACACATTTGTCACCCCAGCACTGTGGGAGACAGAGGCAGGAGGATCGCTGAGTTTGAGCCCAACCTGGGCAACTGAGTGAGACACTCAAAATAAAAATACAAGGCTAGGGATGTAAGCCCGGGCTCAACCTCTAGTACTAAAAAAAAAAGTTACCTGTCCAACATAATTTCTTTCTTCACTGCTCTTACAACGTTTCTGAGACACAGGCTGAGGTGTTTGGGGATGAAATGACACAGAGCTGAGCTTTCCATCAGAACGATGGGAGAGCAGCAGGGAACACAGGAGGAACCAGACTGGCTGCGAAGCTGGGTGCTGGGTGCTGAGTGTGTGGACCTGCACTGCACGCTGCTTTACTCCTGGACACACATGTTGCTTTCCAGGCTACAAAGAACTCTCTGGCTGGCTGCTGTTCCACTGTGTGCTGGCCGGAGACAGTGCCCTGCTACCAGCAGGTACTTCTCCCCCCACAAGAGGGTCGGGACAGAGAGCACTGTGCTGTTGCTCTCTGGGTTTCACAGCCTTCTGCAGACTCGTCCCTTCTTACTACCGCGCATCCTGGGGACCCAACCTCCTCCCGCTGCTTCTCCGCAGGACGGAGAGCCTACCAAGCACCACCACACAGCTCGAGGCTGAACTCAGCCAGTCAGCTAACAAAAATGCCAAGAGCCATGCTATCTCTACCACACGGCCTGAGCTAGGGCCACATTCCAGTTTCCTGACCACGTCACATCAAGGCGTCTGAAGTGGAAACAGAATATGGACAGGCAATGGTCACGCAGGGTCTCCATAGAGCTCAAACCTAGCTCCGCCCTGCCCACAACTCCCCTTCCCTAGACACCACCACGGTCCAGTCCGGGGCAGCAAAGGCCTTCGGCTCTCTGCCACTGTCCATCTCCACCAGCCCAGGCCCTCCTCTGGCTGCTTTCCCATCTTTGTTTTGTCCTGTGGCCTGCTACCAATTCTTAACCATGCTTATTTATTAGGCTGTCACCTCCACTTCCTAGAGTCTAACTGCCACACAGGCAGAGACTTTAGCTTAGTGTGTCTGTGTGGTCTCAGATTCAAAACAGTCACTGAAACACAGCAGGATACCAATTAATACTTCCCAGACGTCAGGATTCCAGAAAAGAACATCTACATAACAAGGGAATCTGAACACACACACACACACACACACACACACACACACACACACACACACGACAACTAATAAACTAAGACTCTCCACCACCAACCTACACCCAATTCATGTGGTAGAAAGGGGACATTGTGGCATTATTTTTATCCCCTGTCATAGTTAGTCTTTCCTAAACAGCTGAAAATTCAGTGACTCGAGATCACATGAAGAACAGCTGAATCTGTCAGCTTTTGCCAAGAAAACATAACGAGACCTCAATATGTGCACTGGGCCTCCGTGGAATTCACAACATACACAAAATATCAGAATGTAGGGAATGGTGCAAATTGCATGAGGGCTTTGAGAAGGCATACATCTCTGTTACTTTAAATCAAAATCAGTTTCCCCCTTCTACTGTATCCATACTCCAAGTCCACTGGACTGGAATTCCTTCCACACACACAGCTGCCCCTATCAGGCAGACGACAGAAACTTCTAGCAAGCTGGTGCCCATGGCAGGTGAGGACTTGGAGTGCCTGCATCTCACACACACCAGCTCTGCCTCGTCCTCTGCCATGTGATCTTGGACAAAGCACCGCGCCTCGGTTTCCTAAGGTGTAAAACAGGGTATAATGATAACATCCACCTTATAGAGTCAATGTGGTTACTAAATGACTTAAAACTAGGTAAGTTGCTGAGAATAGTACTGGGGATCAGTCAATGACTGTTTTAGTTACTGCAGCCAGTTTAGCATTACTACCACATCTGAGCCTACCGAAGACACACTGTACCATTCTAGGTAGTGCCCATTTTTAAGAACCTAGAAAAACAGTTTGTACAGGTTTTTGTTCTTGTGGGGGTTTTTTTGGTGCTGGGGCTTGAACCTAGGGCCTCGCGCATGATAAGCATGTTTTCTACCACTAAACTAGTTTGTAATTTTTTATGCCTAGAGACACCACTGAGAATAGTGTGCCACAACCCAGCAGGGATTCTACTATCCATCTCTGAATTAATGAATATGCTTAAAAAGGAAATGCACACTTTTTAGAAAGATGAGCAAATATTATGTGCCATCCCCACACCTCTCTGCTGCACAGGGATTAAATAGTCACCCACTCCAGGCACTAGGCAAAGCGCTGGGCCTTGGAGCACATCTGATGAAGGCCAGGGTGTCTTCTAGTGTGCTGAGGATAATCTCAATGCAAAGTGGATTTCACGGACTTCCAGGCCTCAGATCTTTCCCTCCCAACGCAGCCTAGAAATCTACAGCAATGAGTCAGGCCCTGCACTCACCCTGCTGTTCCTTCTGCCTCTGCCCTGGCTTTTCTGCTTCTGGCTTCATCAGAGATTAATGCTCCGTCTGAGGTTCTATTTACATGAAAATGTCCTACTGACAACAGAGAGCTAAAAAGCAAGCAGCCCTGCATTCTACAGATGAAGTTATAGGGCTTTGGTCTAAATGGCCTTGACGCCCCCATCCTGGAACAATGAGACCCCAGAAGAGCCAACGTGGGGGAGAGGGAACAGCAGTGTGATTGTAACGCCTGACTCACCTCTGACATCTCTAGGCTGCACTGGGAGGGTCAGATCTCAGGCCGAAAGTCCCTGAAATCCCCTTTACAATGAGATTGTGATTATACTTCTTTCCACTAACTGCCCCACTAGAGCCTCAGATAAATGCATTCAAAACCTTTGCCAGAATCGGCTTTTAAATCCTGATTTTGCCCCATTTGAAACCTGATTTATTAATGTACGTTCTCATACTCACCATAATTTCTCTCTGTTCTTCTAGATTCTTCAAAAAATTTGAAAATTCCCGTAAGGAGGCATCTGAAAGGAGAAAGGAGTCAGGGTTTGCAGCTGAGGCAGAGGAAGGCAAAGCCCGCCTCACAAGAACAACTGTACCTATACAGCGCTCGTCATCAGTCTCCGCGTCACCAATGAACTCGAACTTGAAGTCTCTGAGTGAGTGAGCAAACTTCCTCTGGGCTGCCGAAAGACCTGCAAAGGAAGGGATAGTCATTAGAAGGGTTCAAGGAAATCAACTCTTCAAAATGGGTAAAGGCGTTGGGCTCCCCGCTCCACCCGGCCAGTGAAATGGCACAACCCAGTTCCCATCAGCCTCAAACTGGCACGTCCTCTCAGTGGCCCATCTTCTATTCCACACTCTGGCACACAGTAGGTGATGGAGAACCACTACACACACGCACAAATATGCACACGCGACACACAGCATCCTCTTCCCTAGATGGGATTACCTCACATCACTTCCCCAAAGCACTTTCCTTTTCCCTGTACATGCGGGTCAGAACTTGCCCAATTCCAAAATTCAGGCTGTGATTACGCCTGATAGTACCTCTCGGGGCTTGAGGAGATCTGCCTGCCTGCTGGGGTTTCAAACATGAGGCCTTCCAAGGCTCAAGGTCACCAACCAGGTGCTCTGTACCAACTGCCAAATAACCACTCCAGCCAGCAAAACCCAGAAGATTCCAAAACAACCATTCACAGAAAACAGGGAGGTATCCAAGGCAAATGAAATGGTAGAAAGAATTAATTCTTCCAAAGAACTACAGAGCCCATCCTTTCTCTTCCTTAGAGACTAAGAGAACAGTGGGAAATTCTAAAGTAAGTTAGCAGCTAGGGGCATAGCTCAATGGTGCAGCATGCGGTAAGGCTCTGGGTTCCACCTCCAGCGTCACAAAGAAAGGGGAGAAAAACAACCCTTGTACTCACTGATGTTTAGTCACCAGCCCAGTGTGACACAATTACTGAGCTAGGGGAGAAGCTCAGCGGCAGAGAACTCGCCTAATATCCACAAGGCGCTGGACTTGATCTTAGCATCACAAAAACAAGTAAACAACATGGGAGAACACGTAAGAATGATACACCGCAGAAGAACTGGGGTGTGTGTACATAATCTCACTCAGTATTTTCAAGAGATATGTAAAAGGGAATTAACCCACTTTTCTAATGAGAGCTACGGATCAGAGATATTAAGTAGTTTGTACGATCGGAGCTGAGCAAGTGACGCAACTGCAAAGCCTTGCTTTTCCTCTAACGCCGTCCAACCATCCAGGCCCGCGGCCTGAGCAGGACGCTCTCCTGCTGGTGGTCTACACAGCTCTCCCCGAAGCTACTCACTGACTTGCGCTCTCTGCCGCGGCTGCCCCAGCATAGTGGAGACTAACAGAGTCCTATTATTTGAAAATAAAATTTCACCCCCAGCAAATTGAAATGTTGGGGGAAATGTGCTCGGCAGCTGCTGACTGAAGTCCTTACCTCCTCTCAGGAAACATGGACAAGAAAGTAAGCAGTGTGCAAATTAGGCATTGTTTCTGTAAGACAGTGAGATAGTAGGAGTAGATTTCTCTTTTCTCCACTGTATAACAGCTAACAAATGGAATGAAATGAAAAATCTTTTATGTTCACATTAGAAAATGCTACTTCATCTTTTAACCTAGTCGTTAGGTATAAAGCCTACCCCAGAAGCCTCCCAAGACCAGCCGTTTCTCTCATTCCCAAACTTTCTAATCATGCCCACTAGCACTTCCAGCTACTGTCACATTTTGCTGTTATCGAATAGACCTTTATGCCTTCACAGCGAAACTGAACCGGAGGACCAGAGATTTCCCGTATACCCCTTACCCTCTCACAACCACCTCCCCCGCTGTCCACGTTCGCGGCTGTCACGGCTTCTGAAACTTCATTCCCCTCGCATCTAATTCGTGTGTATCTTACTACGTTCTCAAGGTTATTTTCTCTTTTTAATAGAAGGCCCACTGAGGGGTCCACGTACGAAAGGCAAAAATGTAAAGCTGTTGGAAGACGACACAGGATTGCCATTTCTTGTCCTTGAGGAATGGAAGAAAAGCACGATTCCAAGGTTCAAGGTCACCAACCAGGTGCTCTACAAATTGGTGGGAAGCGTGACACACTGCAAGCTCGGTGTAATTCCCCACCTCTCCTAGCACAGGCCAATGAGATCTCTGCAGATCTGAAAGATCTCTGCGATTCAGATCCTTCAGCTCAAGCAACTCTCACTCCTCTGTTCAGCTCTTTAAACCCTCCGTCCACCACGGGAAGATGCCCAGGCCCCGGGACTGCGGGGCAGTAAAAGGCTTGTGACCAGGGACCCTTGCCGCCCCAGCAGATGCCCGCCACCCATGGGAGCTCGGTTTCTTGGGCAGCTGTGCGTCCGGAGGAGACGGGAGCTGCCCAGGTCAGGCCCAAACTGACACTAGGAGTGGCCGCTGTTTCAAGCTGCCAGGTTTGGGAGTGATCACTTACAAAGAAACAGGAAGCTAGGACTTCATGTTTAATAACATTTGACTGAGTTGAAATTTTAAAGACAAATGAGTGAAGATTAGCACATAGTCAAAAGGCATGAAAAACTGGTACACGTCAATCACATACGGCAGAAATCCAATAAAAGGAAAGTGGGCAAAACTGGGATAGGCGTACTTCACGGAAGGAAGTGAAGGAAACTCCAACAGCCTGTAGGCACTTGAGAAATGCTCAAAGTCATTAGCAGTCATAAAAGTGAAAATTAAAGCCTCAAGATACCTCAAAGGTTAATAATTCTGGCAACTCCCAGTGCTGGTGTGATTGTATGTGTAGGAACAAATCCTCTAACACTCCCAGAGAGAGAAAAATTGGCATTAATTACTTGTGAAGTAGTTTGACATTTTCTGGAAAACCTGATGATATTCTACAACCCAGGAATGTTGGCGAAACTTCCAAGATAAAGCTCTGGCACGTGGGTACCATGATTGCATCCTGGAAAACCCACAGCACAAGTGATCACAGTAATAACCAAATCCTGGACAAGACAAGTACCTGCCAAGAGCACAGATGGATAAATTATAGTAACCGCAGTTATATGCCATAAAGTTAAACAATACAAACTTGCACATCCACACGGAAGATCTCACAATTGGGAGTGAAAGAAGCAAGTCACAAAAAGAATACACACAGTCTCGTTCTCTTACAAAGTTTTAACGCAAGCCACACTGAGGCAAGTCTTTAGGTTACACACAGAGGTCATGAGATCTCAGAGCAGCAAGTGAATCATCCTATCTGACATGTTCACCTCTGCATTTGCAAGAAGGCAATGGTATCAGAAAGGCACAAGGGAATTAAAGCTTTTATTTTCGTAACCTTGCGGAGGCCTGTGAATGCTTGCTTTGGACTGCATATTTGTGTATCAATACTTCTATATTTTGTCATAACTGTACAGCTAATATTTGGGGGATGCTGGGGGTCAAATCAAGGGCCTTGTACATGCTGTGTACGTGCTTTACCACTGAGCTATATCCCTAGCTCCCAAAATAAAATTTGACAAACCATAGCTGGGCGTGGTGGGGCATGCCTATAATCGAAACACCGGAAAGCTGAGGCAGAAGGACTGCACATTCGAGCACAGGATGGACAACTTAGCCAGACCCTGCCTCAAAAACTAAAGCGGCAAGGCCGGGCATGGTGGCACACGTCTACAACCCCAGCACTTGGGAGGCTGAGGCGGGAGGATCGCTGTAAGTTCAAGGGCAGCCTGGGTTACAGAGTGAGTTCAAGCCAGCCTGAACTGCATAGCAAGACTCTGTCTTAAAAAAAGGTGTGGAGTAGGGCACGGACAGGGCTGAGGACGCAGTTCAGGGTGAAGGCCCGGGCTTAATCCCCCTGTAATGGAGGGAGAAAAAAAAAAAAACACCATAAAACACCTAAAGCCTAGCTTGGTAGGCCATTCAAAAGGAAGTTTCTCTTCCAACATTCTTTCCACTAGACCTGGCCACACGGGCAGCTCCCGTGCAACACACACACCCAGCTCAGGCCAGGCTCAGGTCCGTGAGAGCTGCTGTTCCCCCAACCACATCCTCACTCCGCTCTCTGCTTCTCAACACCGAAGCTCCGCTCGGAAATTCCCCCTCTCCCCTCACCAGCCTCTGCCACACACCACCACCCTCCCCACCACTGCAGTTCCGTAGCACTTGTTACCCGAATGTCCTCAAGGAGTCGGTATTTCCTCATTACCATCCGCCTTCCCACTCTCACACATCACTGCCCTGAAGGAGACTCGTTTATATTTTTACGCCTCACTATATATTCCTGAAACACAGCCTGCAGCTGCGAATGAGACAGACAGAAATGGGTTTCCTTACAAATTTATTTCCTGTACCTTCGGCACATAATGACAGTTTTCGGGATTATTATTCATAGCCAGATAATATTCCGTGTAGCTAATTTTTGGTTTGCCAGGTAAATAAGCTGATCATATTTATTTATCTGTGTATCTATTTATGTATGTATGTGTTTTTATATATTATAATCAACATGCTGTATAAATTATATGCCTCACCCTTAGAGCTATTTCCCGAGAGTATTTCATCCAAAATCACCAGGCTATTTTAAAAACAGCATGCTTTGTGGCCAAAATTGAATGCTCTCCTGAAAGTTAAATTTTTAGGGGAGGGAAGGGTTTTTTGATACAGGGTCTGTATCAAATATGCAGTTCAGGCTGGTCTTGAACTCATTTTGTAGCCCAGGCTGGCCTCGAACTCACAATGACCTTCCAGCCTCAGCCTCCCAAGTGCTGGGATTACAGACATGCACCACCACACTCAGCTTGAAAGTTAAATTTTAAATGTTATCAGTTTTGCAAAATTCATAATTCCTAAGGTTAACTGACACAGTTTATAATAGATTAAATATGACTTCAAGTACACAGCTAATCTGTTCTATTTCTCCCTCTGTAGGTAGCAATTACCCCTGTGCTAGAAGGACTAGCGTGACATCATTCGTTCGTTTTAAAGTGTAAGCGTTTCCCATCACTCATTTTCCTAGCGCATTTGATCGCTTTCTTTGTTACCAGATTCTTACCCAAAATTTTACTGTTTAAACACCTGACCGCGCCAAATTCTATTCACGAATTACAAACTTTATCACTCTCCCATTAGCTAGTGCATTTTAAATTTATTTACTGTCTCACTCAATTCAAACTTTTACAG